TCTGTAAATGCCTGCCATTTTACCTTCTGTAAATCATTCTGTGTCTCCTTATGCTATTTTATTTTCCTCAGCATACTAATAATTAACTGACTTCAATTAATTATATATTTTTATTGCCTTTATTACTCCTAAAATAAAAAGTCTTAAAGTCACAGGCTTTGTCTTATACACTCTTTTATTGCCAGAGCCTAAAACACTACTTGGAATATAATAGGCCTACCATATCTATTTTAAAAATTAAGAACTGGTGCATAAAATTACATTACTTTCCTGCTCCTTTCTATGTTGTTCTTGAATATGTACTGTTTAGCCATTAAAGCTATTCACCTCCTTCCCCAATTTTAACTATATTATTAGCTTTATTCTTTTCCCATTTAGTATAAATATAATACGAACATAATCATTTTGACTTTCCCCTTCCATTTTGTTTTCTTTGATATTATCTGAAACTTCAAGTACCTTTGGTGGTTTCCTTCTACCCTAGTTCATTAATTAAGTATTTTTCCTTTACTTATTTATCTTATTTTTGATATATCTAATTTTGGTATGTCCTATTATTTATTTTCTTTTTTTATTTCTTAGGATTTCAGATAATGTGAAATAATATTTCTTAGGTAAAATAATATTATGATACATAATATTCTAATACAATATTACATTTGCATTAAGAGAATTGTGCACTCCTAGGCTCATCTCCTAAGATTAGCCTTAAGGGAAAAAAGTCAAAAAGAACTACTAACTTCCTATCTTAAAATTGCACTCTCTAAGAATGACAACTAAAAATGGTGGCTGCGAATGACACCAATAATTTATTCATTTTTATACAAACAGAAACTGTGCAGTGACTGGAATTGAGCAGAGTACTTTCAAGTTATTAGCCACAATAAAGATAATCAACTGGAAAATGGTAGTTACAAATATTCCATAGTTTACACAGCATGGACATCTTATATAACGGCTGGAGGTTAGCTATGTGTAGGACACTCAGAATAAAGAATTCTTTTTCCTTGTAACAAGATTCTGACCAATGAAATGTAAGCAGAAGTGTCTTGTGGAATATCTAGGAATTGTCTTAAAGAAGGAATCTGTTTCCACCATGTTTTTTTTTTTTTTCTTATTTCAGGCATTTACTTGAGGTACTGCCTTGGAAAATGATGTAGAAACTGTATAGTGTGATCAATAGATCAGCAAAGGAGAAGGAGCTGGCAAACCAGATAATACAGGACCTCAGACCAGTGTTACACTGCTTACAATTAAGTAGAAATGATATAAACTTTTATATTGCTTAAACCACACTTATTTAGGATTTTCTATTAATTATAGATTAATTTACCTTCCAAAGCAGAAGTCAGTTGGCAGAGTTGAAATTGTGTTTCAAGTTAGTTATATTGATAAACAATGTGTTATTGAAGGAATAAAATAAATAGGAAATAATGACTACAATAAGAATCTCTTGCCTCAAAATAAATTTTGCTGGTGTATGCATTATGAACTTTTTCATTCAACATATGCACACTGATTGCATAGTTAGAGAAGGCTTTGCAATAGACACCTTAGCATAGGGCAGAGATGAAAATGGAAGGGCAGGCAGAATGTAAAAGAAAGCCAGAATGATTGTAATTTCCACTTCTTGTTTAGAAATCTAAAACCATTCTTCATCTGAATGAATTTTAAATATTTCTTAAACTATATTACTTTGAACAAAGAAGGTGATCCAAGTTTTGTGGAGCACAAAGCTTAAACAATGTTTTTATCCACTTTAGATTAAAAAATGGCAAAATTACAAATATAACGTTGAGTGTTAATGGATTTTTTGAAGAGAGAAAAGAGTGTAACAAATATATAAATTTTTAACATCTATAAGCATATAAAGATCACCTTCATCATCTTGGTAGAAGAGAATGATCACAATCAATCATGGTTTATTATAACTTGTTTATTTTAAAATAGTATTTATTTCAATTTATAATATTTTATTGTATCATGAGATACTTATGGTGTGTCCTTATTTTGAGGTGTTATGAGTTTCATAGTCTTTTTACCAATACATTTTTAATGAACCACCATTTCAAAATTTTAAAACATATGTTCATATTTTATTCCTGTTTATTAAATAGATTTTCAAAAATCCAAGAGCCTATTTATTATTTCTTTTTAAAATGTATATCTTCTTTATTAATAACTTCATTTGGTATCTGAAAAAGAAACAATTGTTACAAACACTCTATGTTAATCTTTCATTTTTATCACTTTTATATCACATTCCATTAATATTTATCTAAATTTTTGTGTTATTTAATAAATTTTAAAACGACAAGAGAAAGCAACCTACACTAATAAAAATGTGACTATAAATTTTTAAATTTTTTTTAAACAGTAACTAAGTTCATAAAATTAAACTGGAACCATTAAGGCCTTCACAGAATCAACCATTTTGGTAAGATAATCGAAAAACACTAAAAATCTAATATATGAAGTGTAAAACCTGTAATATAGTCATAAACTGATCCTCACTTTTTAGAAACTAAGTTGAAAAGATATCATATATGAAAGTTTAGAAAAAATAATTTTTTATTTTATATTTATATTGGTTAGAAGAAATAGTCTTTATATTAAACTACTTAATATTAAATATTTTCTTCATTTTACAAATAAGTTACTGTGATAAAAATATTCAGATCAAAAATTAATGCTGCAGCATTGAGATAAATATTTAACCAGTGAGTAAATTTTATGTATAAATTCCAAGAGAACATAACAAAAATACTGTTTATTTACCATTAAAAGAAGCACTACCCTCATTAAATCCGAAAATATGGTCTTACTCCAAAATCTAATAATGAAGTACATTGAAAAAACACTAGGTCCTCTGTAGTTCTCTTTATAAAGACCTAGATAAACATTAAAAGATTTATTCTAATATGAACAGGGAAGTGTTACTATGAAATGAAGGTGAACATGTTGATAATTTCATTAAATTCAAATAATATAATTAACTTGAATTCAGAAATTCAAAAGGTTGGTTAACCCAGGAGAATTTCTTCTCCCTTTTTTTAAATTTGACCTTTCACCTCTATTTTACCATTTTGAATCCAAACCAGATTAAAAGTGACTGAAAATTGTTAACACATGATGTTGCTTGATGGCTTATAGGAAATTGGTTGGTGGTCTCAATCCCATGGACAGGTATTCACATAATAAAAAAAAAACCAGAGTTTGTAACAATTTATCTCCTTACATCTAGGCCTAAATGAAACAAAAACATTATTTAAAAAAAGGACAAAACTTGTTTAAATTCTGAAAAAGAATGTATTTAAAAGGTAGCTTTTGAAATATATGTAAATGTAAATAAATGTAAATGAAATAAATTTTATAGTGATTCAAACGTCATTTATTTCAACGTTTACTTGAATATAGAAACTATAAGAAACTATATTTCTATAGAAACTCTAAGATTGATAGTGTAATTCCTTTGGTAAACTATTCATGTCACGGAAAATATGTTTTGAATTTGTCAGTATTTGGGAACAATGAGAAAAGTAAAGCAATAGATAGTGGTGCAGAATTATCACAAAATCTGTTGTGTGTGTACATGTGTATAGATTTCCCACCCAGGAAATTTATTAAAATTTTCTCAAGTTACCCACCAAAGAATTAAACATAATGTTGGCTCATACATTCCTAAATCCAAGTACAAATTCTATACAAATTAAGTTTGAAAGAGTCATTTTATAGTGTATATCATTTGATAAAAAAAGTTTTACATTTAATAAAGTAAACTTTGTTTCTATAAATGAATATGGTCCTGAAATTTAAGTATAAAATACACTTGAATGAGAATGAAATTTAAGCCAATTCAATTAAACGGAAACCAGAGAATTTGAAAATCTCATATTGGAAACATCTTTTGCTGCTTCCTCATGCAACCTTCCTTCTTTCCCATCTGATACTTGCATTTCTTTCTTTAACTCGTGATCATATTTTCTCTACTAAAATACATTTAAGGATGGAAAAATTGTGTTTCATAAACCATTAATTTTCATTTTGAAGTTGCTTTAGTGAAGATTCTTCAGCATATTACACTGAAAATAACATATATTCCTATCATAACTATCAGGAAGTCTTATTTTTGCCTTCTGTGGTGACATGTAAAACCTATATAATCTTTTCCCTAAAGTAATGTTTTTAGTGCCTGCCCTTCAAACATAGTTAGCTACTTACTGTGACTACATAGCTAACAATGGAGTGCATATAAACCCTGACTTGTCACCTTCCCCAAGTCCTGTGTTCTTATAATCATTATATGCTGATTTCATAATGCTGTGATAAAAAGGACAACAGTTTTATGAAAAAGAAATAGTTAAGCACATGTTGCAAAAATACAGGTTTGAAAATACTGTCATGGATTTTTAAAAATTATTATTTTTTAACTATTATACTGTAAATTCTGAGATACATGTGCAGAATGTGCAGGTTTGCTATGCAGGTATACATGTACCATGGTGGTTGACTGCATCCATCAACTCGTCATCTACATTAGGTATTTCTCATAATGCTATCCCTCCCCTAGCCTTCCACTCCCTCACAGGCCCCAGTGTGTGATGTTCTCCTCCCTGTGTCCACGTGTTCTCATTGTTCAACCCTCACTTATGAGTGAGGACATGTGGTGTTTGATTTTCTGTTCTTGTGTTAGTTTGCTGAGAATGATGGTTTCCAGCTTCATCAATGTCCCTGCAAAGGACATGAACTCATCCTTTTTATGGCTGCATAGTATTCCATGATATATATGTGTGACATTTTCTTTATCCAGTCTATTATTGATGGGCATATGTGTTGGTTCCAAGTCTTTGCTATTGCAGCACTGTCACAGATTTTTAAGGGGTTAGTCCTTGGGCAAATTGTTACAAAACCTCAGCAGGTTGGGCAGGGGTGGGTATAAGTAATGTACAAATTACATGACTAGTGAAGTACTGCAGGGTCAGGGAGGGATAGGAAGTTACTTCACAATTTCTGGTTTATCATGTTGGGGTGATGTAGCACAATCAGCCGCAGAAAAGAGGACATTTGGTCCATCTTCATGGAGACAGCTCTTTTGTCAGACTTCTAATACCCAGGGGAGAAGTAGAGCCTATTTTCAAGATGAAACAGAAAGTGGGGAGGGGTTAGAGAGTTGAACTGCAATTTAATACATTCAAACCCTTTAGCAGTTGGAATAGATTCTAGGGTAAAAATCCATCTGAAATTTAACATTGTGATGAAAATATGAAGTTTTTCTTTTTTTAAAAAAAAAAACCAATATACTACCCATAGAACAACAATGGGTTCAGCAATTTTAAGTTAAATTGGAAAATTGTTTTACTGTAAAATATTTGAGTTGTGGCCATGAATTTCTAATGCACTAATTAGAATGAGAATTTTTAAATGCTATGGAGTCTTACTGAAGGTTTCTAAAAAATTCAGTGAGTCTTTAGAGATAATATTTGGAACTTTAGAAATAATGATACAAACTTATGAACACAAATAAGGGAACAATAGACACTCGGGCCTACTTGACTGGGGAGGATGAGAGGAGGAAGAGGAGCAGAAAAGATAACTATTGATTACTGAGCTCAATACCTGGGTGATGTAATAATATGTACAACAACCCCATGACATGTGCTTATGTATGTAACCTTCGCATGTACCCTCAAAGCTAAGTAAAAATTTTTAAAAGAAATATGAAAAAAAGAAATAATGTGACAAATTTAAAAATTCAGACCCACAAAGATTGGGATTTTTCCACAAATACATAACTAGTAAATAGAAGAGCTAGAAATCAAATCCAGGAAGGTGAGGTGGATCAGATCTGAAACATCTTATACCAATGGTTTTATGTCAGTTAGTCACAGATGCTGAAGGTTTTCCTATAAAGCCTCATGGCCTCATGTCTGTCAGAGGGTTCTCACCCTGCTTTCCTTTGTAATAAATACCCTTAAAAAAAGATCAAAGCATTTTTGGTACCAAACAACATAATGTAATTGATGGTTTTCTTTATTGAACAAAAAGCCTATATCCACAGGGTCAAAGTTCTGCTCTTTAAGAAAGGCTAAAATGTGGGACATATGTATCTGTACTGAGTGGGTCAGTTTATGTGGAAGTTACACCCAATAATAAACACAATTATTTGATTGAAAAACATTTTTTTTCAGTAAGATGTAGGATTCATCCTACTGAAATCATTTGCATAACATATCAGGCAATTTACAGGTTATTTAAATTAATACAGGAGCCAGCAGCTATCTCTCATGAATGAAATAAGTTTGGAAGGGATAAGAGGGAGAGGTGGGGATTCTGGCAAACTAAAGATACTATATCAGAGTCAATTTTAGCCATGTGGAAATGAAAATATTATGTTGCCAGATTTTTCATTTTTTTTTCAACATCAGTTGGAGATTCAGAATTTAGTTTTGTTTTTGTTTTAGATAAAAAGGGAGGTGAGTAAAAATATACAGACTTTAAATCTTGTTGACAAATATACTTTAAAAACATTTTATCAGCCCTACAGACGACTTTAAGCTTCATTTAATCTAGGGTCTTTCAACTTTCGATATCTACTGTAGTAGTATCAAATATTTTTAAATGTCCATTGTATTTATATCAAATGTTTTTGAGATTGTGGAAAAATAATGACAGTGAGAAAACTTAAAAATTGTTCTAAATAACATAAATCTCATGAAAAATTGTTGAAAATCAATAAGAATCTACAATAAATAGTTTCAGTATGAGGCAAACTTTTTCAGCAATACTGTATAAATATACCCTATATGTTTTAAACTAATGAGATTGAGAAATAGTGTTTGTAAATGCTTTATTTTTTCCCTTTTGATTGAAATACAGGCACCCGTCAATAGTAGCTCTTGTTCATAGCACAGTTATCTGGGGAACACGTCTTTCAAGATCAAATGCAGGGCCTCTTCATATACATCTGGGGACAGAGATCAGAAATCTGTGCTTCCACACTTGTGGTGAACTGCTATGCCTTGGATATTTCTTAGTGGGTTAAGACATGGTGTCAGAAAAATAAAACTGAATTATCAGGAACAGGAGTCAGATTTCCAGGCTATGCTTGGAAACGCCATGATCTGGGTTATGTGGTGAAACAGATGCAGCAAAATGAAAGTGAGACAAAACCATGGTAGCTTGTGTCAGACTGTACAATGCAGATGAGACACGACGGAGGTCAGAGGGAGGAGGAGGAGAAGAAATATTGGGCTCAGTCTCCAAGATTGAAAGAATTTATAGGCAGATCATCAAAAGAGGCAGAGTATCTGGAAGGCTTGAATACCTGCAAGATACAGTGGTGAATCCCCCACCAAGTCTGGTTCACATTAAGATGTGTGTTTCAGCTCACATACTTCCATCCCTGGCCTAGCAGAACAAGCTGGGTCTATAATAGAGGTTAACACATGGCAATATTTTTATGCCTTCTCTTAATACTAAGTTCTGAGAAACAGACAACAACTAAGAATCTACAAATAGAAATCTAGTTCAGAGGCCAGGGACTGCTTTCTGTCTCTTCACTCTTACTTTTCAGTCCACTTTATCATCAGTAAATTTGGTCTTCTAAAACCCTTTTAAAAAACAAAATATCTCCTTTGTAGTTACGATGTTGAAAAAAGATAGGGTGAGAGTAGAGTCTTGAACATTTCACGTGTCCCGTTTATTACTATTTTGAGTAAAAATCTTACTTAAAAATCTAGCTAAAATTATAAAATATGATGGCAAAGATAGTTTTGTCATCTTTTGAAGACATTTAACAAACATGTACTATGTATCATGAACGCTTATAGGAGTTTAGATGAAGCTACATGTGGTCCCAGCCTTCTTCGATCTCAAGGTAATGTCAGAGATAGACCTAAAGACAAATGATCAGAGCAGTATGAAAAGCACCATTAACAAACATATGAAACAAATGCTATGTGGGTTCTGAAGAGCAAGCCGATAATCACCCAGCAGTTATGGAAAAAAATTACACTTCAGGATTATTTAAAATACTCCTTCAAATTTTTATTATAGATTTCTCTTTTCTCTGCCCATCAACCATTATTTGCCTGATTCATTGACATTGATTATACTGAATTTTGTTGCATTATTTTGCTAAAAAGGCCATAACAAACTATCACAAACTGGGTGGCTTAACCAACTGAAATGGAATTGTCTCACAGTTCTGGAGGCCAAAACTCTGAGATTCAGGTCTTGACAAGGCTGTATTCCTTGTAAGGGTACAGGTAGAGCAGTTCCCGCTCTTTTTCCTAGCTTATGACTGTTCATTAGCTTGTGGCATTTTGACTCCAATATTTACATAGAATTATCCCTGTGTGTGTGTTTCTCTGCCCAAATATTTCCTTTTTATAACTATCCCTGTCATATTGGGTTGGGGCCTACCCTACCGTAGTATAACCTCAACTTAACTAGCTACATCTACAATGACCCTATTTCCAAATAAGACCATATTGCGAGGTATTTTAGGGTTAGGACTTCAACATGTGAATTTGGGAGAGATGCAATCCATCCATAACATTTCTCCCAAGCCTGTTTATCTTGTGAAAGGCCTGAGTTCCCTCCAAGGACAGGATACCCTGAGTCCTAATTTAAGTGCAAATATTACCAGATAGATACAGAACCAGGTGTGCTTTCTGTAAACTGTGGGCACTTGGGAAATATTGATAATGAGGTCTGCAAGTGATCTAGCAACCTGAATAATCCATGTAAGAGAAGTAGATGATTATAAAATATTCTAAGATCCAAGTTCAGAAAAAATGTCTCTGGTAACAGCAAAGTATATATTGGGTTTATGATTTTTTACTAAGTCACTTTAAGATTTTGCTGAAAGATTTGTATGTTTTTCAGTTATACCAGGAATTTGGCAATTCTTTCAGGTTTCTTGCAAAACAATCTGTGGTAATACAAAACCATTCGATTAGATTTATTCAATCTGGAAGGAGTAAGAATAGGTTAACCACTGCTTAGTTTGGTTTGTCTGACACTAGGCATTACATTGAAATGGTTAGAAAAGTGAGAGAGACACATTGTTTTATTTATACAAAGAAGGATAAACTATAGTTACTATACATAAGTGTTGGTGAACTACCAAAGAGTGATTGACATATGTTAATAAGAAACCTATGTTTCATTGTGATTGATTTATTATATTAAAATATAAGACATAAGCTTTGCATTACAGCAAAGGCATGTTGTATAGAGCATGGGACATCAGTGGGCAGGCTTAGGGACAGGGTTGGTAGATGTGGAAACTTGTTCTTCTGGCCACTTTGACATGACTGGCATATTTTGAAAGGTGGCATAAAATTAACTAGATTTGTACATTGTTAGTTTAAGTCATGCAACTTGTATCACTGTGGGATAAATACATTTTTCTAATAAGCACCTCATTTAGGATATTAGTGTTGGTATAGGTTCTGTTACTTTTGACTCATTAGTCAAAAGTAATGAAAACTTTTAGGTAAAAGATGATAAATTTTAAAAATTAACAGTAGTGATGACATAATCACATTTGACATTTTCACAGAAAACTTTACATCAAAGGGAACACATGGATTCTCAAATTTTGAAAAGGATAGTTTAAGAAAACAACAAGGAGATTAGTTAGAAAGGTCCAAAAGGAAAAAGGAAATTTAAATCCATAGAAATATTATATATCCTGACTAAGAATACATTATCAGAGATTTGTGAACACTGACAAAAGTAAATATGAAGTTTGAATGTTTGAGTTTGGAAAAGATAGAGAAGTGATAAAAGACTATAATACTGATCTTTATAAACAACAACAACAACAAAATCAAACGTCATTCCTAAGTACATAACAAAAGAATTCCCTTCAGACAAGTATATCAGAAATGCAAAATCCACTAAAGACCAAGTTGACCTCTTAGACTATCTTGGGAATGGAACATTCCAAAGAGACTGCAAAGAGACTGAATGGATGCTTTGTGCCTGGCTTGCTTTCCAGGATGAAGAAGTATCTACTCTGGAATTACTTTGTACAAAGAAGGAAGGTGGAGAACTGTCAGAGAAATCAAAACAAAGACCTGATTGAAAAAATATGAGAAATTAAGTGTTCATAAATCA